CTGAGCCCAGGAATCAGGAATGAGAACGTGGCCAAGTGTGGTGGTGCACTCCTGTCATCCCAGCAATTTGGGAGGCTGAGGCAGGAGGATGGCAAGTTCAAGGTCAGTCTCAGCAATTTAGTGAGGCCCTAAGCAACTTAGCGAGACTCTGTCTCCAAATAAAAAATAAAAAGGGCTGGGGATGTGGCTCAGTGGTTAAGTGGCCTTGGGTTCAATCCCTGGTACCAAAACAAACAAACAAACAAACAAAAAGAATGCTCCTGGCTGCATTGTTTGTAAAGAGCCAGTGTAGACACAGCCCAGAGAATGGAGAAATAGAGTGTCACAAACAACAGTGGAAAGGTACATGTGGTGGCAAAGCAGGAACTTCAGCCCCGACAGATGGCTCTTGGGGAAGTACTGTCTGCTCAGAGAGGCCAGACCTAAAAGAATCCACGCTCCCAGAGAACTCAAAGAACTCCCAGAGAGTTCAAAGCCAGCCACACTCCACACACAGGAGGGGACGCAGACAGGGGGCAGAGCCCTACGAAAGGCAGGGAATGTCCATCAGAGCAAGCAGCTACTCTGGCAGAGGGAGGGTTGGATGGGAAGGAAGTTTCTGGAACCCCGGCCCTGGTCTATTCTTGATATGAGTGGCCACCGTGTAGGAGCTCATCTGATATTTATGTTTATTTGTAACACCGTACAAAAATGCTTCCTGCACTTTTCTGTAGGAGTGCTGCATCTCGTGATTTAGAAAGAATAACAAGTGTGTTTGTGCAGAACTCTGGGATCTGGCACTCTCCCCGGCCCAGTGCCTGGAGTTCACTGCCGCCAGCAGATGGGGTGGGGGTCATCATCCTTAGCGGGGCAGGGGCTCCCCAGCTCCACGAGCAGAAGCCCGCTGTGACCTGTCTGTAGTCTGCCTGCCCTGTGCCCGGTGGCTCGCCCCCTGCGGTCCCCCCAGCTTTAGAGCACCTCTCTGTGGACTTCCCCAGGTGGCGCAAGGCAGATGCTCTGACCTGCTGTCTGTCTTCCCTGACCAGCGGGGAGATGCAGGGGCTTGGGGAGCTCCAGTCCTTTCCCCTCCCACCCTCCCAAAGCGCAGATGGCCTTGACATGGGGTGGCCCCCACATGCACCAGCACATGCCACCGCCATGCCCAGCCATGCCCCCAGGCCCAGGGCCCTGCCCTCCTGCCAGCCTCCCAGGCTGGAAGCGATGCTAGTGGTACAGACAGTGTCCCCAGACTCACAGGCTATCAGGTCTGGGTGCAGGCCAGCACCCTATAGAGGGCTCAGAGCCAAGGGGATGGGATGGAAAGGACATTTCCCTGGCCCTGTTTACCAGGACCCGCTATCTCCAGCTCCATCTGCTGCCTCCTTATCTCCACAGGGCCAGCCCCGTTCCCAGCAGCAGCCTCCTGCCGCTCACTTCCTGCCAGCAGCCTTACAGGAATATGCACACTGAACTCAGCCTGAGAGAGAG